TATTTGTCAGATGGCAATACATCGTATTATGTTTAATTTTGACAAAATAAACGAAGAGTATAAATTTAATAAAAGTTATATAAGAATAATTTATTCATTTAGGATGTTAATTTCATAATTTTGGATTATTTATATAAATTATATCCTTGAAAATGTTTTTATAGTCTTTTATCGTTCTATTGCCATTAGTTACTCATTCAGGAATAAATATTTGGAATTGTAATTCAGTTTTGGAACATAAATTTTAGTAATCACGTCTTGTAGCTGATTGTTTAAAATAATAAATAATTTTTCAATAGAAATGAAATCAATTCAAATCTTTATTTTGCATCGAGTTTATTGCTGTAAAAATAGTGATACAAAACCATGCCTATATCAGAAAAAGTTTTGACATTTTTCTCATATATTTCAAGATTTAAAAGGTAGATTATTTATTATACTTTCTAAATTTAGATATTTATATGCATGTCAGAAAGAAGGCGACAAATATTTCATCAAAACTATCACCAGTATTTTTTTTATGTATTGAAAAGATTATTTTACAAACGTAGTGAAGAAATGAACGTACGTTGGAAAATTTCCGATAATTAATTCAATACCGCCCTAAATGGATTTATTGATTTGACCTATATTAACTATTTGGTTTGACGTTATTGCCAAGAATTAAAGACATGGTGTGATAAATCGTGTGAATATGGGAAGTCGTCAACTATAACTGTTGAAATTAAAAATTTACAGCTGATTCAAGATTATTTTCAAGATTTCATATGCCATCATTACTTAACTATAAAAACAAGAATCAATACATAAATCATTTACATGTAATGGGTTGTTATCTCATTCAAGGAAACATACGAAAATTTATGGAGACAATCAATTTAATTTAACAATTATGGGAAATTGTGAATCCCGAAAATTTCAATCAAACCTCAACCGAGGCAATAATATATTGCTGGAGGCTGACTAAAATGATTTATTTCTTGAAGGTACGTTGAGTGTATATAATTATATTATTTGATTTCAACAGATTTAAAGTCTATAATAATTCAAATTTATATTATGAATTTCTCTGTAATTTTGAAACGTGATATATCGTACCTAAGGAGATAAGTTATGAAAAAAATTATGGGAGACGGTAGTAAATATTTTACTAGTAGGTATTATAATTATTTTTTTTTAGAAATTTTATTTTTTCACTTTTCAAGATTCCTGTAATCTCAAAAGGGTTTGCATTATTTCCAATAAAGTTGTAGTTATATTATCAAAATTATAGTGATGTAGAATTTAAAATCTCAACTTGAAATTTTTCCAGCGTTAACACAATTTAAGAATAAACAAAAATTAAATAACCAGCAAAATGTAAATGGATTCTTATCGTATTTTAATTTCTGATAATAAGCATTTTCGGATTGATACCTGTTTATTATGCTGTCAATAATTGTTATAAATTGATATTGTTATGAAACGTGAAATCATCGTTGGAAAGTCATGGCATACAAGTTAATTTAGATAAACTAATTAATAATGTAATGAGCATTAATGTAAATAATTTTTTTTAAAGAATATATATATTAAACATATACGAAAAAAATAATCAATCTTCCGATCTTATTTTTTGTGATAAATTGTTTATAACGAACTGGTGGTTCTGTTAGAAAAAACAAGTTCGTTATAAAAAATTACTATGTTTCTATAAGAACCATTCTATTTTTTATAACGAATTAATATAAAATTTAAAGATTTAAAGTTCATTATATCCAGAGTGAGGTTTGTTATAAAGAGAGTTGACTGTAATTGTTTCGTATGAAACCGGTTTAATAATAAGAAAAAAACAAAAAACATTGATACATATCTAAACATTCTTTTAAAAAAAATCTAAAGTAAATCTATAAAATTAAAAAAATATTTTATTAAAAATACCGGTATTTTGTTAACTTGTATTAAATTCAGATATTCATATTCTCTCTATTTCAAATATTCATATTCTATCTGAAATTCAATTTCAGATATCCAATTCATTCTTATCATTGTCGTCCCGTCATCGCGTGATTAAAAAAAAAGTTTTTTTTAAAGTAGAAAAATTATAGTTTCTAAGTTGAAATGCATAAATTTAATTTTAGCTATAGAAAACTAAATATCATTTAAAAATCGCAAAAATTATGACGAAGATTAAGAAGAACCAACGTAATCAACTCTTAATTTCCTTGTCACGTTTGATAGAAGCGTTCCAATTACAAAATATTTTCTTCGATTTCTGAAATTTGAAATTGCATGTATTTATTTGAACTTTTATTACATTTTGATAAAAATATATTCGGAAAACCTTCAAGCTTTAACTGAATATTTCAGAAAATGATCATAATTCTTTATTTCTTTTGACAACACAAGTCAAAATTATTTTTAAAAAGATGATTATTGTAATTTAATAGGGAATGAAGATCAATTTAACAATTTATTAATAATCCTTAAATAATAGAAAAGGATTTTATTTAATAAATAGTGTTTCAATTATTACTGCTTTAGCCGACGCTCTATAATAAGGTAAAAGAACTTTTCTAATCTAATCCTATCGAAAATATCGAGGCGAAAGCACCCTTCTTTATAATAAAATTTCCTTAATAAGGATTTGATCCTGTTGGCAAAAACCGAAATATCGTCCAGATGGACATACTGCGCAGCGATCGATTAAAACGCTGTCAATTTTCACGAGTGACCGCTTAAAAAAATTGAGTCAATACATGATTGGCTCTTTTTTTTATACTTGTGCTTAAAAAAAATAAATTTGTACCACACAGCGGATAATAGTAAGTTTTTTTTTTTTTTTTTTACTTTCTTCAAGAATATTTATCATTTCGTTATAAAGAAATTAAAATAATCAAAATGTAAGCTGTCATTAAATCAAATGAGTGGATTATTTTTATTGAAAAATATTTTAGCAATGTTCAAGAAATTGGTACTGGTGGCTTTGGGAAAGTCTATCATGCAAATTGGAATAGTTCAAAGAAAAATTTAGCATTAAAAACGTTTGATAACTTCAATGATGCCACTGTATAAGAACTACGGACTAGATTATTAATTAGTGCTCTCGACATATTAGATTTTATAATAATTGATCGGTCTGGTAACGATTCCGCCAAATGCTCTGAAAACAAAAATTAAGCAATTTATAATATTAAAATAAATTTTTTTATTATTATATATTTATTATAATTAAATAATAAATATCTTTAAAAAATATTTATTATTTTTTAAAAAAAATTAAATATATCTTTAAAGATAAAGTTTAATAATTATAGTAATAAAATAAAAAAATAAACTAATATAATCAATATAATCAAATAATTAAAAATTGTTTTATTTAAATTATTATTATTAATAATATATAAAATATATATAAGAATAAATAATAATTAATAAATCAAAAAAAATACAATAATTAATTCATTAAAAATAAATAAAAAAGCGAAGATTTGATATGTTGGCATTTATTTTCTAGAAACAAATTGTCTTGGGATGCCAAATTGATGCTTAGTTTATGAAATATAAAGGGGAAATATAGCAATTCAATAAATAATATATCATCCTAATTTTTATTCTAAAAAGGGACTCCAAATATGATTGGTTCTTTAATTTATTTATCAATAAATCTATTTTTTACATTTCATTTTTTTTAAAAAATATATTTCGAGTATAGAATGTAATGTGAGTAATGTGAATATCTTTTCATAAGCAATTCATAACAAACGTGTTTTTCGTGTTGTATCAGTGATTTGGTCAAACTTAACAGCAAAATTGCCGTTCATAAGGTACGGTAATATTTGCATTATCAAGACGCTATCCTTTTTTTTTTTTTTTACTTTAAAGTATAATTTAAATATTTATCGAAAATGCAGTATACTTTCATGAATATTTATACTTTTTTTTCATATCGTATAATATAATAATCTAATTGGCATAAATTAAATTACTTTCATATAATAAAAGTTAAAATGTATAAAAAATACATTAAAAGTGCGTTGATAATACTTTTTATTCTTTAATATTTAAAAGCCGCCACAAGATAAATGTTACACACGAAAATACTACAATAATATTTAAGAAAGGGGCAGGTTAATCTTTAAAAATGTGATTTTTAATACTAGTATCGAAATTTAATTATTTGAGAATTTATTCTTTCTTTATTATTTAATTTATGTAACGTTTTATGATTTTTTAAATATAAATCGTCGACAAATAAATTAGAAGATTGAAAATTGTTGCTATATTTATGGAACAGACGGATATTCATTTTACGCATAATTATTCTATTGATAATCGATTTAGTTGATGGACATGAAGAGTCGAATAGTAACGAAGATGCAAAATTTGATGGGCAAATAAGTATATGATGTTTCTCGATTAAATATTGTTTTAAATTGTAGATTTTCATGGCATTTATGACGTGAAATAATTTATCGGTAAGAACCTTCAATAAGAACATGAAGAACAACAAATGTTCAATTGACTATCAAGCGACATAACCCGGATCATAATTATACCTTTTGAAAGATTCCTAATTTGGGGAAAAATTGCTTATTATTGGACCCTGAAGGTTGAAAGGAATGAATTTACAATGCAATGAACCAAATAGAGTTGATCTTAACCAAAACAACATGTAAACCCGATACCCTTTTACTTAAGTTTGTAAATTTCCTTTCAAATTTATTTGTGCAAATCACAAAAATATCAAGAAAATTTTTAATTCATTTTGATATTCACTAAATGTATGAAAGAAAAAATGTACAAATTTGAAACATCAAAGACATTCAAAACTCTTTATCTCAAAAAAAAAAAAAAAAAAAAAAAAAAGGTTGCAAACGACGTTCTTTTTCAGAGCTTTCTTTTTATCAACTACGCAAAACCGTTCTTTATTATTTTCTATCGAATTTTCCTCTCTTGCGCATATAATGATCCAGTTAATGCAATAATACTAATATATATATATATAACACAATAAAACAATGAAAATGTATTTCCCAAATCATATTCGACCATTAAGTTTTATTCTAATAATTTCGGTAGAAAGGGTCTCTTCTCAGCAACAAAATAGAACCTATACTAAAACTCCTGATTATCCATATAATGATAAAACCGGTTTCTATTTGCTAACGATCCTATCTTTAATTTTTCAACAATTGAGCCTTTTAGGTAAATCCAAGTGAGATTTGGGTGAAAACATCTTTTTTCAAGAAAATATTAAAATTTTTTTTTAATTCAAAAGGTTGTCTTTACGTCTTTTACGGAACGTACCGTCGATGGCGAGATTCGTCGGGAAGCCTTCCGATGGCATTAAAGATACCGTTCTACTTTGCAGTCACCGGTAAATATCTTTTTGATTTAACTCACTTTCTTTAATTGTATGTTTCAATTTGTATCTTAATAAATCATTTCCTTCATAGATTTCTTACTATATACCATGAATTTTCCGAACATTGTAAATAACCATTACGATTTTATTTTTTAAAAAAGTACTCAAGAGTGCAAACTCACACTAGACATGAAAATCTTTCTTTTATAGTTGTTCTTATTGATGTTCCGCCATGCGTGGCCTGATCCAGTTTGTCCAATAATTGGATTCATGACTAGTTTCTACGCAGCATTAAATATGATACTTCATTTAATGATATCAATTATGACATACGTTAGGTTCGTTTATCAAATCTTAGTCATCCGCTTTAAATTGAAATTCCCTAACGATTTAATATTTTCGCTTTAAAAAAATGTTATTTTAAAGATTGTGTCATAATGAGAATTTCTCATCAGGAGTATATGATTGGAAGCTTTTGCTAATCGTAATCTCAACTTCGATGTTGTTTGCGTTAGTCCCAACGTATTCTTATGGAGTGGACATATGGTGGTGTTCTATCTCGCGTGAAAGGGATTCGAAAGTGGCTTATCTAGCCATAATTGTCACCTTTGGTGTTGTCCTCATAAATGCTTTTTGTTATATTAGTGTAAAGCGACAAATTCATGGGATTGAACACTCTTTACATCGTAAATGCGTTAAGAAATTTGTAACTTACGTTTCAATATTCGTACTTCAATGGTAAGTTGATATAGAAAAAAAAAGACTTGTGCAAAACTTTACCTGCTTCAAAATGTTTATCCTTTTTTTAAAAAAATTAGGTTTTTCTCATTTCCTAACCACATTACGCGATTAATTGCTGTAAGTAATTTTGAGAGTGGAAGATTTAATTTTTAACGAAAAAAAATGCTGGTTGACTAAAAAAATAAATTCTCCCGTCACTACAGGATAGGAGCGTATGGACGTTTGTATTATATGTGGTATCCATGAATTTTGGAGGGATATTAAACGGCTTTCAATACCACATGTCTGAAGGTTGGCCTGTAAAAAACCAAGATGATCAACAACCCATCATGCGTGTTGCACCACCATCGTCTCTCACTTCTGTAATATCTCATTCAACAACATAAAAAATCACTAGTTTTATTTTTAAATATGTAATTTAATTTACACACAAATCCGTAAAGATGGTTATCATCCTGGCATCAAGGCGACGGGTTCATTTAATATTAATCGATGTTCAGGATTATTCCGTGAATTTCGTTCATAATTGTATAAAAATTAATAGAAAAATAGAATAAAGTGGTGGAGGTGACGAAATCATAATCCTTGATTTTCCATTCATTGTAGGTTCAATAATTGCTTGTATTTATATCTTGAATAGATTTAAAAAATTTTTTGTAAATTAATTTCACGTGATGGTTTGCTATTGGCACACCAAATTTTATTGTGGCAATTACATATGAAGATATTTATTAAAATCATTATTGATGCACATACTTTACATCGTACTTTAGAGTTAGGGATATTTAGCCTTGTTATTCCTTATAGGAGTATTATGTTTAAGGATTATAGGAAAAAATGGCGTTAAACTGTGGATGTACATGTAGTATTAATGATCCATAAAAAAATCCATCATCTTCTTGGCGAGTACGATCTATTTCAGGAAGAAATCTACCGTATGCGATCATCTCTCCAGTCTCTGGAACGCCTTCGAACTCCAATGCGAGACCTATTCCATTAAGATCCTTACATCCTTTCGCTAGTTCGAGCTGTTTCTTAGTTAAAGTGAGAGCGCATGTATATCGATTTGAGTGATAGATATCTTCAATTCCAAATGAAGTGGAGGGAGAAGCAAGCACTCGAAGTAAGTGGATGAAGAGTTACGGAAGATATAGTTGAGGTTAAAAGTTTTCCGATGAACTTTCCGATTCTTCGGATGCTGCACTTTTTGATTCCGACTTATTGGAACGACTGTGAATATAAATAATTTTCTGAGAAATATATTTTGTAATAACTATGTAAAAATATTACCAAATACTTGTTAGTAGTTTGTTGCCATTATCGTTCCTGTTATTGTATAGATCGTGGTGCTGATAGTGTGTTTATTGTCATCACCCCTCATTAACTTCTTACCTTCATCAAAGGATTTAATGTCGCCAAGATGATTATCATAAAAACCTAGTCTTTTTCTAACGGTATATAAAAAATGCTAACCTGAGTTGCCGAGTCAAGTGGAACAAGGTTTATGATGTTATAAGCCATAAATGAGATTACAATTCCTAAACTGTTTCTTTTTGCTGTCTAACTTTTATTATTAATATAAAACTGTCTTTAAAATATTTTTAATATTCAATGAATATTTTTATCCGAGCACTCTAAAGTTTTAGATAAACTTTTAATGACTTGTCTTTTTAAATTAGTAGATAATTGTATACCTATTCCTCTTTTTCGGCTAAATATATCGATTCATAATCCAAAAGTAGAAAGATACAAAACTCCAAATATTTTTTTTTTTTTTTTTTTTTTTTGAAAATCAATTAATGTTTCAATTTCGCGGAATTCAAATCTTTAAATGAATTTTATTAAAAAAATTCAGCATATTACAAAAAAATTGCACTCATTTATTTCTAAAGTAAAAAATAACATCTCAAAGAAAGTAGTCCAATATCAGTCTAACATTAAAAAGAACTTCACTCTTCCATTTTAATATTGGTTGCCTCAAAATCACTATTGATCTTGAACTTATTATTAAGCTCGAAAATCATTCTATCTAATTCGGTACTTATCTCACGAAATATATTATAAATGTCATTAAATTTATTATTCATCGGGTTAAGCAAATTGACATTTTCTTCTTCGACTATTTCTTCTTCACGTTCGATTTTAATATCTTCAATCGCATCTTCATCATCTTTTCTTAAATTTTGCATGCCAACAGCAATCTTCTTATAACCTTTAATGCTTCTCCACATGCGGTTAATTTTATTCCTCCTGAGCTGAAAAATAATACATAATTAGAATCTTTTTGAAGAAATTATAGGGATTATTTTTTACAAGGAAACAGGTGTCAGGAACGATAGTCATGGACCTTATATATTTGTTATATATATATATATAAAAAACTTTTAATAACAATGCATCCTTAACTTTAATAAATGTAGACATCAACCTCTTCGCCATATAAAATTAAATCGATATTTCACCTTATTTCTGTCGATTATTAACGAATAAAATGAATTAAATGTGTCAATATTTTGGCTCGTAAACCCTATTTGATTGACTTGTAATCTTTGATGAAGTCCAAGGATAATGGATAAAAGTAGCTTATTTTGTTGTAGTTTTGGGAGAAGTAAATTTCTATCTAGTAAGTGACAAAAAAATAATAAAAGGATTTCCCCGCTATTATGGTTATTTTTTAATATCTCCTTCAAAATATCTTCTTGATTTTCTCTGATATTCATTTTAAGTTTTGATGGTGGAAAGAAATTTTTTTTAAGAAAATGTGGAGATTAAAAGGTAATTAATTATATAAAAAAATAAATTTAACACGAATTGAATCTCCAAAAATGGTGGATCTTATCTTCAAGATGTTCCGACAGCAATTGATTAATCTTTTTTTTTTTTTTAATTAAAAAAAAAACTTTAAATCCACGAAAACAATGAATACACAACGAATCGAACGTATTACGAATGTTAAACAGCCCAAAACTTTTCAAAGAAAGTTTTAAAGAATCAACACCAACTCGGCCGGCTTTATAGTGCCAGTTGTAATACATGTAATACTCGCAACCAAAAAGTTACCGATTTTAAATATTTTATTTTTGTTACATTATTTCTTTAAAGGTAAGGATAACTTTATCAAAGATGCAATTGTGAGTTAGTTATGTTAATTTGTGGACTATATTTTGACATCACATGCTTAACGACAATTTCATTTTGTTGCTTAAAGCGTAAAGAAAGGATGATGAAGATGAAGTATTTTCAAGTTTGCCTTATTGAAACAAAGTATTATTTATATATTTAACCCAGAATTTAACGATTTATTTCAGAATATGGGAACGTTTCCAGTAAAATCAAGTTATGAGGCATAGTAAATCATATGATCCGTAATGTGATTTTACTGGAAACGCTCCCATATAATTTGTGAAATATAAATTGGAGACGACTTAATTAAATGCTTAGAAATAAAAGCTTGCATCTCCTTTACATTTATGAATATAAAATAATATAAAATTAGTTATGATTTTTTGTAATGTGAAACCTCATTCCTTAAAATTTTAAAGAAAACTTTGATTTTTCTTCTATAGAGGAACGATAACGTCTTATCTTTTACATTTTTTTTTTACCACACGAATTACGATCACAAGACTTATCGTTATATATATTTGATTATGAAATCATAAACTAATACTGCGCATAAAAAAATTGAACGGAGCGAAATTATATTTTTACCGGATTGACTTAGTATTTTATTTATTTATTACTATTATTATTTTTTTTTTAAAAGAAAAGAAAATATAAAATGTCTCATAATTCAATGCGCGAATTTAAAAACCTAACGCTTGAAAGTGGAGGTACCTAAATGATAATCACGTGAAAGCGAATTAACGAAAGTATTTATTTGTAGAGCAATATACAATTATAAGAAGTTGTGTAATTATGGAAGAAACTTTAACGTTTATTAAGCATACGAGACGAATAAACCAAAAGTTCATTATGTGAGTAAATAATACAATACAAGAGAATTTCCTCCCCCTACTCCGCGTTGATTGGTTTAGATCGACAAATCTATACATCAATTATACCGAGGTAAAAAATCTTGAAATTTTAATTTGTAATGTTCCCCAAGTCCAAATAAAATGGAAGGAATCATACAAAAAAATTCTTTTTAAAAATTCCTGTGGAATTTCGCGTGATAAAATTGGTGATGCAAACATAGCCTGAACTTCTTCATATTCTAATCCATCACTCTTTTTTATTTCTCCTTTACAAGCATCTTATAAACTTTTTAATTTTCCATCAATTATAAGATAAAGATCAGGAAATTGTTCTCTATTAAGTAAATTCAATCCTTTAGCAACAGAATGCTCATTAAACCAACGATTTAGAGAATTAATACATGAAATGATAGAGGATTGTGAATATTCTTTGCCAGTTGTTGTTTTCATGATTAAAATAAAATTGAAACTTCATTTTCAATCTGTTTTAAATTGCTAAGAGTTTCTAATTTATCATTATATCCTACTTGTAGACGAAATTCTTCAAAATATTATATCCAGTTTTCTGTAGACTTGTGAGTATTTTGAACATAAGCATTTTGTTTCATTTTTGAAGCTTCTTTATGAGTAGGTAATACATAACTTATCTAAAAATTAAATATATGTTTTAATATTTATATAAATAATACTTAAATAGTTAACATTATTTACCTTATTATGTTGCTTCTTGATTTTCATTATTTAAACAAAGAAATAATTGATAAAAGAAAATATAAATTATGGTAACGAAAGAAAGAACGAAGAAAAAAAAATTGCGAAAGTTTATTTTATTAAATTTTAAACTATATTACATGTTACACACATGATCATATCGGATAACTACATAAAATTTCATATGAATAATATTATTTTCGTCTAATAAAATCATTTGATAAAAAAATAATGACGGTTCCTATCTTTTGGGAGTTACCTTTTCTGTTAAATGTAAAAAAGGATTTTTTTATAATTTTTTTGGCGAGGATGATAAAAAAGATTAAAAAAAATTTAGAATTGCGACCAATCTAACTTGAAAACCTTTGTTTAATTACCCAAGATTTATTATAACGTCAGTTGCATTAAAATATAATGAAATTGATAAATATTCTTACTAACATTACTCATTTAGATATTCAAATATAAATATTTCTTTCAATATGTTTCGAAAATATAAAAGGATTAAAATGCATTTCAAAACTCAAAATTATTAACTTGTTTGTTTTTATTCAAATTATTTATGATAGTGTCATGTTATTATCCAACACCAAATCCGGCCACGCCAAAACATTTCCCCCATAAATATCACAATAAATAGGAGACAGTTTCACCAATTAAATGATACCAATTATAGAATCAAGAATAATGGAGACAGATAATGGAGGCGACCAAAATCATATAAAAACTCCTCCTGGTGTAAATGAGCTTAATCAAGCCTGATATTGACAGATTCTGTAATTTTTACAGAAAATAGTACTTGAAGACGCAAAGTATTTGTTCTTAGTGATTACTGTTAGGAAATCTTTTATTTGTACTGTTATGAAAGCTTTAAATAAAATTATTTTTAATTCATAATTTTTATTATTGATGTTTTTAAAATTAATTAAGGTTACTGATCTTATTAAACTTAACTTTTCAGAATAGAAACTTTAATACAATTTTTGACAAATTATTTTGAAATTTGAATAAAATTATTACTATATAATTTATTGATGTGCGAACATTTGCTGTAAAGTATAGAAATCCAAAATCCAAAATAAAATGAAAAATTCGTTCGATTAGAGATAACCAAAACTCTAAGTATTAAGTAACGCATGTATTCTTTACAGATTCATAAGCTCTAAGAGTACTTATTACACATTGGGTATGAATAACGCAAAAAGTGTAGGCATAACACAACTTGTTTAAGCATGGGTGCTAAATTAATCGTTAGACGCTCATCTAATGAAGAATAATCTTCTAAATTGAGAAATTCTTAAGTAATTCAGGCTCATGAGTTGCAGAAAATTTCTTTTTTTAAGGTTCTGTTTTATTGTCGTAAACATTTAAATATATGAATAAAAGCTTGCATCGCGTCAAATTATTAAGTTATTTCGATTTTTTTTGGATTTTTATGTTGAAAAAATGTAAAATAGAGCGGAGCGGGTTCAAGTACGCATGAGCGTCTATACTGTTCAGGACAGAAATATTAACTGGTAGATAATCCTTATTGAACGCGTAAAATATATAAGTAAAGCGTTAATCAGATTTATTTTTATACTCCTTGTCACGTATTACGTAATTTATAGTAAACCAAACGTCTATGTAAGGAGAACCTTTATTAATTTTATAGTACCGGAGACCCGGGTTTTATTTTTTAATAATAAATATTTTTATATTTTATTATATAAAAACCATATCACGTGATTGGCAAACTTGAATACCGATCAAAATGATAACCTTTTATTTAGTACGAGCTTTTCATCACTAAAGCAATCGTAGTAAAGAAACATCGAAATACTTTTACCTTGAAATACAGAATAAGGACAAAAAAATATGGTTAGTCATCATAGTATACAAACTTATTTTTAAATTAAATGTGTATGTTTTTTTGCATAATTTGTTCGGTACTTTTTCTCAAAAACAATTTTGTGAAGATAGCATCTAATCCTCCTTGTATTTCTCAACTTTCTTATCCTGCTGATTTCATCATTTCTTTTCTTTTTCATAACACAATACTTCAACCAACTTTTTTACAAAAATATAAATGACGTCAAATTATATTCTGTGATCTGAATAGAAACCACCAAATCAAAGACTTTAATGAATGTAATATAGAAATAGAAGAAATAAATTAATTTATTATTCTTAAATTTATAAATATAAATTATAGCTTATAAAAAATTCGAACTGATGCTATTACTGCAATTAAATAAAAACAAACGAAAAGCTTTACATGTGATCTGTCAATTTACTAAATTTCACTAGCCATTTTTGCTAGCTATTTCTGTTGCTAGTACCTGGACACTCTAAACCTAATTCATTTTTGACATGCAATTTAATTACCTTCAATCCAAGAGGACAAATTGCCTAGAAGACAATTTGACGAGAACAACTTGCCCAAGTGGTGTTGATCATCAAATCTAGGTCGATCACTAACCAAAATAAGAAAATAATACTTAATTAGATATATTAACGTTAAATACGTGTTTTTTTTTTAAGATGTGGTATTATCAGTACTTAATTACAATGCGTTCTTTAACGAAGAGATGTTTATGAGTGGTTATCATTGAATTAATTAATAAATATTTCGAATTAGGGAATTTGAGATATGAGTAATTAATCTGCATTTATAATAAATATATGCATATATATATATGATATACTAGTATATCATATTCATATATTTCCGCAATTGCAATAAGCTTATAACTTCTTTGAAATCATTAGAATGTAAATTGTGAAAGAAGCACTTTCGAGTTAAGTTAAATTTAACAATCATAAAGTAGTTTTTTTCAAGAACTTTAATTTTGTAGATTAAAAAAAAACCAAAATAATTTCTTTACATGATTCTTTATTTTGTGTATAGATATTGTATTATAGAAAAAAAATTTTCAAAAATAATTTTTTTAATTTCAACAATTTTTATTTTTTCATTACTATTTTATTTTATTTTTTGTAAAAAAATATAAAAATTATATTAATACATTCCAAGATTAAACAAAGTTGTACAGTAAGTATCGAAATGTACTAATTTCTTTTTTATTTTTTTATATTTTTTTTTTTTAAATTTAAATATATAGATATAATTCAGTAAGATAAAACTGATTTTGTATTTATATTTTCTTTTTAATAAAATTTGCAGCAGATAAAACTGTAGTAAAAAACAAATCTTATTATTTTGATAAGAAAGTGATCAAAATATTTTTGTCAAAAGTTTAATAACAAATTATGTGACATGATACAAGAAATGATGCTATTTGACAAAATATTAAAAAAGGAAAAAAATAAAAATATAAGAAATTCTAATACTAAAACAAACATTATTTCAAGAAGGTTTAATTTGCTTTGAAATTAAAATTGATTTGAATATACAATATAGTATTAATCAAATTCATGATTTGTGATCATAATAAATCACTAAGATCTAAACTTTCTTAATTTTCTATAATTCTTAATTTCTTATTTTTCTTATATTTTTATAATATATTTATTTTCTTAGTTATGTTTATTTATACAGATTATAATTTAGCTAATTAAAATATTAATTTTATATAAAGACAAACAATTTATATATGTATTTCAAGTAATTATTTATTCTTTTCATTTTATAAATAAAAGATACTTGTTAATCACATGGGATATGTTGATAAATTGCGTGGGAACGAAAGTCCCGCAATTTCTAGTTATTCAATTAAAAATTGAGTACTATACCCAGTAAAATAAAACTTTCGAAGTACTATATCCTGAAATTACTATTATTATATAACCTTATGATGGGAGTTTTTTTTTTGATACCATATTTTCATATGAATTTCCTTTATGGGTAATCAATACACAATATAGCAAATTGTCCTTTGTTTATGAATTAACATCTAATCTATTCCCAATTTGTAAATAAATCTACAATAAAAGTTTAACCGATGACATTCTTTATTTGGTAATTTTTAATTAAAATTCCGTTTTCATCATTTTTCTATAAAAACACTCAAATTGTGAAAATGTAATGAACTTTTTTTTCGGGCTTCCTTACAAAAAATAAAAAATACCCACAAAAACAAAATAAAAAGTAGATAAAAAAATGAGTAGGGTCGGAACTAGTATTGCTATTATAGCAGTCTCCATTTCACTTGTAATATTGTTATTAAGTTATGCAGGTACAAAAGTGGACGTTGATATACCACAAGACAATAGTACTCACACCGGATATCCCGTTTGGCATCCTCCTTTTCCAGGGCATTATGGTCAAGATCAATATGCAACAATCTTTGGCTCAGTAATATTGATGGCAATCAGTGGATATTTTGCATATAAATGGACAATGTTTGATACGAAAACTAACGAAGAGTTGGTAACATATTTGGTTGATAGAGCTGCAAACAAAACAACCACCATTTACTTTGACCAATTATTAGCCGCATACTCGTTAGTTACAGGAATAACAGGAATTGCATACCTCGCATTTGATATTGGTAAAATTTGGTCTACGGTTGGAGTGTTTCATAATGGTTTGGAAGTTGTTATATTAGTTGCTTTACATCAAGGAGGAAGAATCGTTTCAAACAAATTTTTAGCTTGGATGATTCTTTACTTTGTGTCCACCTTAGGTTTTAGTATCTTTTTAGATTGGCCTTATGACACCGTTTGGTTTAAGATGCAGGGTCTATGTCAGGATTTTGCGTTGGCGATTACATTTACGCGCATATATTTTGCTACTCGTAATGGTTATGGGGACGAAACTCATCAGCGTCTTTTTGATGTAGAAAGACCAAGAGAAAACAACGGTGTTAAAGAATATATTTTTGGTTCCGTTTCACGTTTCACTCCTAGTTTCGTTCTATTGTTGGTGTTGGCTTCTTACATTCACATTTTAGGAAATGTTTATGCAACCATTTTTTATACTAGATATTATTCGTATCTCGTACTTTCCTTTTCCTATAATTTTACTTTCCCTTTTTACTGTTATTTTGTTTATTTAGATACTCATTCGGTTGAGATCCCTCCCTCTCGAAAATACATTATTCTACCTGATACCAGTAAACCAAAAGTTGTTCTTGTCACTTTATCTGTCCTTTTCCTTTCCTTCTTATGCACAAGATTATCTTTATACTTTCAGAATGATAATTAATAGGTCGCCTTTTTTTTTTGTTTGATCCGTTAAAATAATTATTATTATTTATCATGTCATGTATCCAACATTAAAGAAATATGTATTACTACGCTATGCTGCGTGATTTAAAATTTTTATGTTATGTCATTTGAACTTTGACATGAATTGATCGTTGTTTCACCGAATTTGAAATATGTCAGTTTGATTATTTTATGCTCAAAGTATTAGTTTGGGTGTAAACAAATTAATTTTAGTCGTATTTCTTTTCTTTTTAATGAAAGTGCCGTATTTAAATTATACATCTTGAAATTTCCAGAACTTCAAAGAATTTTTGGTTAAGAATCATTGGACTTCAATAATAGGATCAAAACTTAATGGCACAAAAGAAAAACAAGAAAAACACACAGACTGCATTGTAAGTTACATTGCAACAAGCAAATAAAGTTCATGCAAAATATTACGCCAAAAAAAATTAAAATATCTATTTTAGAATACTTTATTTAGCTATAATAAATGGCGAAAATCTAAATATCTATTTGCCCGGCTAATGTTGGAATTTTTATTTTATGTTTCTATCTTATTTCCTTTTTTTTTTTGGAATTATTATTATTTTTTTTTTTTTTTAGGCAGCAACGATAGAACGATTTTATTTCAAGTTATTCATAATAATTAGGATCCTTGTTCGGCTTTGACTGGTCGCAGAGATCAAATATTTTTATTTTTCTACGCTTTTGATTTTTCAGAAGTCAAAAAAGTGATTTCTTAATTTTTTTTTCTTTGTAATTAAAAGATTAATCCTTTTAAATTTTCTAGTTATTGATACTATTAACACCGTCAAAAATTCCAATAATTTGATGTATTGGGCTGAATTATAAAGAACATGCAAAAGAAACATCGCAAACTTTACCAAAATTTCCAATATTATTTATAAATCCACTAGTTTACAAAATCCTTTTGATAAGATTAAAAGTACCTACTATAGCTACTAATAATCAAGGTGATTTTGAAGCTGAATTAGCTGTAAAAACTTGTAAAAATGTTGATAGAGAGAATGCTTTACGACATGTCTTGGGATATACTGTGTAAGAAACGAGGACCCGATCATTTACCCGACAATTATTTCACCGAGATTCATTTCACCGACGGTCATTTGACCGACAGGGTCATTTCACCGACATTCGTTTCACCGACAGTTATTTGACCGACAGAAATTGATCGCCAATTTTTTTAAAAAATAACTTTTTTTTTTAACAATATGGCGAAACGAAATGGTTTGTCAGCGAAATGAATTTCGGTAAAATGACCCTGTGAAATGAATGTCGGTGAAATGACCGTCGGTGAAATGAATGTCGGTGAAATAATTGTCGGATATTTTTCTTTATCCCTTTATAATTAACATATAGTATTTAAATCATACACTCTAAAGTAACTTTTTCTTTTTTATTGTATTTCTTATTTTTTTTCTCAAATCACATTGACAGTATTTAAAAGATAATAGTTTATTATAATTTAAATATATTTGCCACAAATAACAAGTGCCAATTTGTTACATTCTTGAGTAGGGTACTTTTTTCTTAGGCATTATGACAAATATAATGAACGCGATACAAAAATTCTTGAAATCAATTTACAAGATCTTGTGATCGGCTAATCATATAATCACGTGATTTTAGTGTTTTGTGTTTTGTGGGGTTTTTGTCGATCACGCATAATTGCCAATTTCAATAATTTCGAAAACCCCAATAAAGTCATAGCAATCACTTGTTAGATAATTTGCGTGAAATAGTAGAACATGATTTTGCAGAGCTTTTACATCACATGACATAAGGTTTATGACATTGGAACTTTAATGAAGTAGAATACGAAAATTTATTCGGCGCTTCGTGCCGAATATCTGTAATTTTAACATACAAGTGTGGCATTTTAATGCTTCTTTAACAAATAAATCATCATAAATGAAACGATTCATAGTTAGATTATTCAATTTATGTAGCAATTTATCTGATGTATAGAATTAAATATAAAGAAAGGAAAGATTTTCAAATGATATGACATCCATAAAGCTTATTGATAGAATTCAATGTACCAAAATTTATATCGAAAATAATACTACAGAGGAACTGATGTTATTCTTAAGCAAGGAGTTTACCTAATCCTCCTAAACTCAAAGGCGAAAGTTTTCTTCACATTACTCTATTACCGAACTATATACTATATAATTTGGACCGACTGAAATCCCCTACCGATCAATATTTGAAACAAAAAATAAAACAATAAACAAACCTAATGAATAAATAATACATGTTTCTATTCGGAACAGCTTTTCAAAATATTAAGAGAAAACTTGCTTTGTCTAAACCTATTCAATTAATTTCCTTACTTTTTCTCTCTAGAATCTTGAAACTTCATTACAACACCAAACAATTAATTTATTTTGTTAAAAAATATAAAAATATCTTTTTGCTTCACTAAAAATGATACTATCTTTAGATAAATTACTTAAAATCAATTTGTCAGTTCCATAAAAACTTTCCTTCAATTTAGGATTTTTACTTAAATCCAAAAAAGTTAATTTCTCGTTTCCCAATTGAAGCCTTTGTAAATATGGATTATTGCTTAAATCAATATTACTTATTTCACTATGTGGTAATTCTAGTGTTTCAAGTTTGGTATTTTTACTGATGTTAATATTTGTAATATTATTGAAAACGGTAAACTTCACCAAATTAGGGTAAGCCGACAAATCAAGAGAACCTTTTGTAGTTTTTATTCCACAAACTTCCTCGATTGCTTTTACTGATTTGTTAGGGTATTTGATTTCTACTTGTTGTTGTAAAGTGATTTCAGAAGAAAGAAATATATTGCTTTTAAATATTTTACTTGTCGACAATGTTTTTCCAATCGATACTTCTCCAAAACAAGGATATTCTATATCTTCCTCATTAATTTTTTGGATTTTCTTACTTTTTGACAAATCCAAAAAATTCAATGAGTTATTATAACAGGAGAGTCTTCCTAAGGATTCAGGTAAAATCGCTAACTTGGTTATTTCAGTATTATGACAGTAAAGAGTTTTTAACGAGTTAGGTAAAACTGGCAAGCTCTTTATTTGTGTATTAGAGCACTTGAGTGTTATCAAAGATTTAGGTAAAGAAGGTAAGATTTTAATTTGCGTATTCGAGCAATTGAGAGTTACTAAGGAATTCGGCAAAGTTGGTAGCCATGTTATTTGAGAGTCATAGCAACGGAGAGTTGTTAAGGTGTTTGGTAAACTCGGAAAGCATAATAATTGAGTAGAAAAGAAATTAAGAGCTTTTAAAGAATTGGGTAAAGGTGGCAACCTCGTTATTAGAGCGTTTTCAAAGAAAAGGACTTGTAAAGAATTAGGTAAATTTGGTAAGCTAATTATTTCAGTTTTATAGCAGTGGAGCGTTTTTAAGGAGTTTGGTAAAGTTGGAAAGTTAAAGTTATCTAATTGAATATCGTAGAAGGTGAGATTTGTTAAATTTCGAAATCTTTGTAATTTTCCCGGACGGTTTAGCATAAAATCTTTATTTGCATCATTGATAACTAATTTGTAAATAGTATCATAATACGTGATATCCAGTTCTAACTTTCGGAACTTTTCTTCGAAATCATTAATGGTTTCTTGCATTGCTTTTGAGTCTTCATCTTGCGTTCGAATCTTTCTTTCTAAATTATTAACGGTTTCTTGTAAACATTTGAACTGAGAACTTAAGGTAGTTAATTCTTCGCTTTTTTTTGTTAATTCAATATTTAAGTTTTTTGTTTCTAGTTTTCGTTCATTTAGTTCATTCAATATCTCTGTAAGTTTTTGTCCCGCTACGAAATTCTTCAAGTCATCCAATTTGTTAAGTAGCGATCGATTTTCGTCATTGGCTATTTTATTACTTTGCTCTAGCTCCATAATCCTTTGCTCTTTTGTTTGCAATTCTTGAGTAAATCTAGTTTTCAATTCTATTAGAGATTTTTCTGGGTTGTTTTTTAAAACCATTATTTATACGACTTAAACTTGTCTTTGGTTAAAATACGCTTTTGAAAAAGCGTTACTTAATTCGTTACGTTATTAAATACCTTGCCTTCTTGACTTAAAATTTCACTTTTTTGAAAGTATAAAGAAAAGGAAACTAATAAAGAGTATATACTGCATAATACTTTTAAATTAGGTTATATAATCCCCTCGTTTCTTAAATTGTAACCTTTTCCATAAATATTCAAGTCTATTAGTAAAACAAAGTTTCGTTACATAGAAAGAAATGATCGGCGATGTGCTTACTGCAGGATGACGAAGTTTAAAAATAAATAATTTTTTGACATTTGATAACGGAATATAGGTGAAGAAATTTTTAGAATAAGATTTAACTATTTAAGGTTGAATACTATCACATTATCAAATGGCACATATTTGGACTAGATAAATTATCACACCTATTGTTCTGACGTCTTCACGTGCCGCAATATTTTGACAAAGAATTCACTGAACGTCCCAGGAATTCTTAATAAGGAAGAAAATGGCAAATCTGTACTTTATACATGTTATTCAATTATAATATAACATTCGAATTGTAAATTATTTTCAACTATATTTTTTAATTTTTTCGTGTAATTCGATTACATATAATCTTAGTAATTATATTCTGACTGGGTCGAGTCGGTTATAAGCGGGTCACGGGTCAAGAATAAGAGAACCCATCCCGTCCCTAAATTAAGTCGGGTCTGACCAAAAATTTTCTGACTCGATACAACCTTATCATTAACGTTAATAGGTACGCTGCGTGAAATATTTCGTAATTTTAATGATAGAAACGTCCGAAACTATAAAAATAAGTACCTAACTAAAAACAGCGAAAAAGATCTAAAGTTTGCAAAGTATAATAGAAAAAAATATTCAATTTTCTGTCTTGGAAATTTCAAAGTAATCCTGCTTGAATTTTATCAGTATATCTTTTAGCAAAGATTCTGTAACTTCATTTCAAACAATAACCTAAAAGTAAATAATCAATCCCTTGTTCCATATGATGACATTTCAAAATAGCTAGTATTACGCGCAATTTTTCATGTTTTAGGTTGAAAACGATAAGGTTTTATTAATAACAACAAAATATTAACAACTAACAAAAAACACGTAAATAAAGTATTGCCTCAAACGTCGGCGATCTATACGATCAGGTACGTATATTATTAAAACAGGAGTTGGCCGGGAAACAATTTGGCTAGAGGATCCGCATATGTATTTACATTACTTACGAATCGAGGATTACCTTCCAATTGTAATTATCTTCAATTCACCAAATATTGATTGAAGTTATGATTCATTAAACCTACCTTCTAATATTCGAGACTTGAAACGAGCGAATTAGCATCATAAATTTCGATGCCAAATATTTCGATGAAAAGTTTATATTTTCTAATTGGACAACAAAATATCCAAGTTTTTTTTTTATAAAGTGTTATTCCGTTCGTGTAATAGTCATAAGAACTTGCACAAAGATATAGAATTAAGACCACACACGGCATTTGGATGTACAGTATTCTTGATTATCAGTTCCAAGTGCATTATCTTTTATCACACAATATAACATTATTTGTGCTTTCAAGTAGATTAAACTCAGAATGGTTTAAAATCTTTACAAGATTACAACATTATTTTGATTACACAATCTTATGCTGCGCCACATCAAAAGTTGTTTTTTATTAAAAATGGGTTATGGAAAACTTTTATAGGCCATTAGCTTATTAATAAAGCAAGTAATTAGGCCGGTAAAAATGCTTAAAGATTTGTGTAACATTGATCATAAAATCTGAATTTAGAATTTAGAAATGATCTACATTAATTTTAGAAATGATCGACATATATTAATTAAGTTCATAATTTCAAAATTTTATATTTTTTATATTTTTTTATACATATAAACTTTTCATTTATGGGGTCTAGGTGTATTCATACCCCCCAGAAAAAAATTTTCATTATAATAGGGGGGGGTTTTTTTTTTAAGAAAAAATGTTTAATTAAAATAAAATAAATAATTTATAAATGAAAATTTATTAAAAAAGAATATAAAAAATAAATGATAAAATAAAATAAAATAAAAGTAAAAAAAAAAAAAAAATATAAATATAAAATAAAATAAATAATATAATAATAATAATAAATATTAAGGTTTAAAGCAATAAATATATTTGTGTGGATTATCTACATATTGTCTAATTTTTTTATATAAATATTTTCTTCTTTTATTTAACATTGTTACATGTATATTAAAATTCTTATTATTTAAAAGATTAAAAAAAACTTCATTACCACCAGATTTTTTTGAGCAATAAACTTTTCCTAAATCTTGTGATAATTTACTAAAATGAAAGTGATAGTAATCTTTTATATAAGGGCAATTTATAAAATTTTGTGTAAATAATCCTTGAAAATTATATCATTTTCATCTATCTCCATCATTATATTAAAGTCCTATATTAGCACTTAGCAGATTTATTTGTAATTTTTTCAACATCATCTATAGTATTAACTTCATTATCTCTAAATGTTTTTTTGATTTTTCCAAAAAATGAATCACAAATGAATTTTGTATGACCTGATATCATAAAATTAATAGTAATATTATCAAAATAACCCATTATACATAACCAACTCCAAAAAAATGATAAATTATTTTTATTTTGTGCATCACAATTATCATAGGTTATTTGTAAATTTTTGCTTCAGGATTATTTTCAATAAATTTTTTAATTGCTTAATAAATCATATTTAATGTTGTATTTGCTTCTTTTTCAACACCTTTTGAAAATTCATCTTCAGTAATTATAAAATTTATTTGTTGATTTTCTTCTCCAGTTTTACAAATACAAAATAAATGAATTGCATAAGCTAAAGATGGAGCTGTAATTAATGTTAAAATTTTTAACTAGTTGTAACTTAAGTTGCAACTCATTGAGTTGCAACTATTTATGAATTTTTATATTAAAATAAATTTTACAAGAAGTTGCAACCAGTTGCAACCCAAGTTACAACTTACTGAGTTGCAACTTCTTAATTACAATACCATCTTTAGTCTAAACACTTTTAAAATAAATTGATCCTACTTGTTGTAGTGAATAAGAAATTGATATATGTTGAGCCCAATTATAATAAATATATATTATTGATTTATCTATTTTACTATTTTTAACATTATTATTATAATGGTTTCTTTCAAGATCAGCATTATTTTGATGTTCTTCATATTCTGTTTTAATTATTATAAATTCATCATAATTATTTTTGAAAGTTTGTATTTGTTTTCTAAAATCTTCACAAACTTCACAAAGAGCTGATCCTGATAATTGAAACTTAATATTTGGTACAGTACTATACTAAAGATGTTTAAAAGTATTATAAGACATTACTTTTTCATTTTCATTATACTCAATATAAAAATTAATTTTATATTTGTTATAAATTGAAGTAAAATTTTCTTCATATAGTAAATAAATAAAATTTCCATTATCATTTTGATGTCTTATAGATAAAGGTAAATCATTAATATTTACATATTGTATTAAATATTCTTTAACTTGTGAAGTAAGTTCTAAATCAAGATAAACTTTAGAATCTCTTCTTTTAGCATATCCAGTATTTTCATAAATTCTTTCTTTTAAACCATCTGTTTGAAAATGGATTTGAATCGATAAAAATACAAATTACTATACTTTACATAATTTTAAATAAGTAGGCTTACATAAGGGTAAAGATGAATTAAAATTATATTTATAATGATAACGTTGTAGATCATTATTATTTTTTTCATTAGTAATTTCAAAAGACATTAATTGTGATTTTATAAAAAGTTCTAATTTAACTTTTTCTAATCCTTTTAATTCAAAATGTTTTTTAAAAAAAATGTTTAAAACCTACTTTTTCAAAACAAGTTCTAATATCTTTTTGTTTTTTAGTACGACAACATGTACAATTTTCACTTTCTTCAAAAGATACCTTTAATTCATGTATAGTATTTAAAGCTAATTCATTTTCTTCATATTCTTCTAAATCTAATTTAATTAAATTATATATCAGTTTAGATTGAATTAAATTAGTAGATATTTGAAAATCATCAGAAGAAATTGTTGAGTTAGAAGAAGACATTATTTTTTTTAAAAATATAAAGGTAGATAAATAAAATTCTAAAGATTAAATTTTAAAATTTATAGAAAAATTAAATCTTAAGTATTAATAAAAAATTGTATAAAACAATTTAATTATTTTTTTAATAATATAATTAAAAATGTTTATTATTAAATAAAATAATGAAAGTTAAAATAATTTTAATAAAGTCAATTAAACTTTTTTAACAATTTTAAATATAAAAAAATAATTGTTTTTAGAAATTAAAACAGTTTTTAATAAAAACATTATATTTATATTAAAAAAATTAGTGTAATAATACTTTAAAAGATTTTAAGTATAATTTCAAATATTATAACATATAGTTTTAATAGCAAAATCACAAGTGTTATAAATTGCTAAAATTGATATTATAATAGTGTTACATTAATAATTATATGTATTAATTACTTGTATAATAAGGTATATTAGTTTTATTAATAAGCATTTATTATTATTTTCTTCTTTATTTTATTTTCAGTTTATTAGCATTTATTATTAGCTTTTCACTTCTCTATATGTTTCATTAGTATTACTATTATTATTATTATCCCTTAGATTATAGGATTTCACAAACAAATTTGCCTGCTTATTTACTATAAATTCTCTTCTGATTTACTTTTATGAATCATTAATATTTTTAAAATTTTTTTTTTTAAATTAATTATATAAATATGTAATTCATTATAATAAGTTTTATCTTTAATTATATAATAAAAAATGTAATATTACTTAGAAGCTAAAAATTTGTAATTTTTTAAAAAAATTTATTTTAAAAAATTTCATGATTAATCTATAATAAACTTTTTAGAATTTACTTTTAACTATATTAATCA